CTGATAGATGATATTTATCTCTTAACACAGCATATGTTAAAAAATCATCTTCATCATCTATCGATGGGTCCAGAGTCAATATCTCTGCTTCCATCCAACCTTTCCATATCACCATCTTTTTCCCAGTTTTTAATGCTGGGTTTCCCCATAGAGTCAATTTAACATGGGAAAAAGGAACAAATCTTTTTTTATTAGACATTCCATTCCATAGCTTTCTAACTGACATAATTGTTTCCAAAGATGAGTTCTGTTGTATTTAGATCCTAATACTGGCCATCCAACCTGTTACTCAGTTGAGGGCTTTTATCTGATTGATCCCTAGGCAGTATCTGTCCCCCCCCCACCCCACCCCCAGTCTTCCAAGGTCAGCCACACATTCCATTACACTGAGGGATCGTGAAGACTCCTTCCTAGGGATTTTTTGATGCTTCACAGATGTGGAAGCTGGTTAGTGAAATGTAAATATTTAGAGCAATTGAATCATTGCAAGGTGGGAGGAGAGGAAGTTGAAGATTTTGGTTGTAGTTCTGGGGTATGAGATCATGGGACATAATTTGAAGAAGCAAAGGTATATGGAGTTAGCTTTGTATTTTTGGTGTTCAGTATCAGTTTAAAAAGTTGGGATTGGAATAGCAACTTGCATTTTCCATCCCCAGGTATTCCCAGGTGCCCTTTTTATTATTATTAAGGAAGACTGCTGTGATGCTGGGAAGGGTGATGTGATAGATATGTGTGATTTCTGTTAAAAGAGTTTAGAATATGATTTGAATGAATAAAGCTGCAAACATGTGTATGTATTATTTTTTTTTTATCTTGCGTTTCTTATTTTTATAAATAACTCAAGGCGGTGAACTCCTTCCTCCTCCTATTTTCCCCACAACAACAACCCTGTGATGTGAGTTAGGCTGAGAGAGAGGGACTGGCCCAAAGACACCCAGCCGGCTTTCATGCCAAAGATGGGACTAGAATTCACAGCCTCCTGCTTTCAAGCCTAGTGCCTTAACCGCTAGACCAAACTGGCTCTCAATATATGTTAATATATTATTAAACACAGTGGGACTGAATTTTGAGGGAATGCACATAGGATTGGATTGTAATACTGATAAGGTGGCCTGGTTCATATGCTGTAATGCAGTTTAGCGCAGTAGCTGAACACATCTGGTTTGATTTGCTGTTATTTAGAAAGCACATTACTATAGTTTATTGAGAATCTTGATTTAATGTTACATGTAAACCAGATCTCATGCAATTGCCCCACTGAGGCCTTCATATATCTCCTCTGCTTACAGAAAGAGAAAAGCCAGCTCCTAGCCTCCCCTTTACACATTCACTCCAAAGAGTTTCAGATGCATATTTACTAGGACCAAGCTTAGTGATATTCACAGATAGTAATGGGGGTGCCATGAAATCTGTGTGGGGATTCACGAATATATGAATATTGAGTGCATTTAATTCTGGGAGTTGTGAACCCACTCATATATTCCTTGCAATGTACTGATGGCTGCTTTTGCGTAGAGAGAGCAGTGTGTTTGTTATTAATGAAGCTGCTGGAAGTGATACCAGAATTTGCACTTGGAATCATAGAGTGGCAGAAGGAAAAGCCATAGTCATAATATGTGTGATGGAATACCTAAAATGATAACAAATTATGTTTTTTTTTCCAGATGAAGATTCTGATTCATATTTTCCACAGGACTCCTTTGGCAAGGAATGTAAGTATTTGAACATTGAAATGGGTTGAATGCGTGCTAAGTTATAGATTGCGTGAAAGAGAAAGTTACATGATGTACTGAGCGAATCTTCCTCCAGCTGAAAAAGCATTATATACTTAGAATACAACAAACCTTAGTTTTTGGGAATATTGGTACCTTTGTTCTCCTATAAAACTTATCTGACTTTGTCCATTTGCAGTAAGAGCACAAACTTCAGTGCCCCGTTCCAAGAGTGAGAATGATACCATTAACATGGACAAGATGATGAAGAGATCTGCCACCTTGCCGCTGCCAGCTCGTTCCTCATCTCTTAAATCGAATTCTGAGAGGTAATCTTAGATAAGAACAGTTGGAGTAGCTCAGTGTGATACAACTAAATTGAAAACCAAGTTTTCCTGCATTTATCATTCTCAAAATAAACTATAGTAAGCGCATAAATTTCAAACGGAATTTTCATCCAAGTCAGCATATTTAGGGTTCATCTTGTGTTCTGTTTGCTGTGGCACAGAGATACCTTCCAGTTCTACATATTCTTATGCTGTTGCCTCCATCTCATCCCCAGCCCATTGCTGAAGTAGCCTAGAACCACCTCTGGTGGTTCCATTGTGGAAACGATGTTGCCATTTTTCTCCTGACCCAAGACTTTTCATGTGGAAAATCCAGGGTGCCTCGGGGATGACCCTGGGGACGATGGATGGCAATCTTCTCAGCTCCAGTTTAAATAAGTGGTGTCTCAAATGTAGTTTGGCTAAAAATTGGCAATAGGCTCAGCTGAGCTCCCAAAGTTTGCCAATTGCTTTGGGAGGGGGGGAGTTCCTGGGGAACAACAGGAGCGTTTATTTGAACAGGGACTCATTTACTTTTTATTACAAAAGGCAATACAAACCTGTAGTACAAATAAGAAGAGACCTGCTAAGCCCCACCGGGTTCCTCAGCAGAACCACCTATATGAAGCAGGTTTTGTCACAGAACACAAGTGAGAATGGAAAAGAAATTACAAATTAAGACACCGTTTACAGTTTGGTTTGTATTTGTAATAAACTATGGTTCGGAGAATTAGTGAAAAACAATTCAATCCGCACACAGATGAAACGGGATGAACCTTCCTCTCTTTTACTTTTAAGCTTCCAAAGAAAAAGTTCATTGCTCTAACATGAACAGTTGTGCTTTATTTTTCTTTCCTTTTTTTCTTTTAAAGGAATGATTGGGAGCCTCCAGACAAAAAAGTGGACACAAGGAAGTACCGGGCTGAACCTAAAAGCATTTATGAGTATCGTCCAGGGATGTCCTCAGCTCTGGACAATGAAACATTGGTAATGTTAATTTGATTTTACTTTTATGTGCATGTTTTCCATTGTGCCCCATAGGTTTGGTTCCTGTTTGAAAACCTGCTGAGAAACTGGCCAAGAGTCGAGGTTTTAATGCAGAGAGGCATAACTAGTAGTACATGTGAGGTTCTCTCCACAAAGCCCTGGGAACAACCTGAGAAGCCCTGTTCCTATGTTGGGCCAGAACTGGGGCAGCACACTGAGGGGCAGAATAATCCTTGACGGGACTGCTTTTCTCGGCTTGTCATGCCACCGCACACAGCTTCCTCTTCTGAGTGGGGAGTACGAAGGCACTGCTGCACTCCCTCCCTCATTGAGTCACCACCACATCACAGCTGGCAGGAGAAGGGAGGAAGAACAGGGAGAGGCAGGTGATGTCCCATTTTCACACTGGCAGGCAGGCAGGCAGGCAGGCACCAGCCCCCAGTTGTCCTCTCTCAGGTTCTCTACTGGGGGAAAGACACTTCGGGAGAAAGAACAGTACTCCTTGTGCTACAGATGTAATTATCTGTAATTATCATTATCGTTCAGATGATGAAAAATAGTGCTGTTTCCCCACTGCCCTGTAAATAGGCAGAAAGGGAAGAGGATTTCTCTCCTCTGTGTCAACTTTTTTTGCTGCAGGATCCCAGTCAACAAGGAAATAGACTATCCAGTTTTTCCTTAGTGGAGGGAAGGGAAAGGAGGAATGTTCTTCTTTTTTTTCCCCTTTGGCTAGAGTAGCCAAACTACTGGGGAAGAAAACATTTTTTTTTTTCTCACTGTTTTTGATACAAGATGGAGGAATATTTTCTCTCTTTTTCTGTTAGTATTTTGTAAATACTAACGGTCATTACTGAATGTACACTGTTTGCGCCTCCTGAAAAGATCAGCACAGGGGCTATTTCCTGGAGCTCTCTGTACATGCAGCAAGACATAAGAGAAGGAGGAGTTACAGAGCAATTCAGGTTGTTAGACTGGCTGTTAGTAAGCCAATCCAAAATTTGAGAACTCCTTCCCAGGCTGGTAGGCCAATAGATAAAATATACCCTTAAGCCCTATATGGTGTTTCTCCATGCTACATCTTCTATATGTACGCTACTTTTAAAGAACAGTAACGTAGCAGAAGATCATTCAGAAGTTTCTGCAATCAATAAACAAATCTCAAATAGCAATTCTATGAAAAAGCTCTGCAGGAAAGTTGGTGGTTTTAAGTAATTCTAATTCTGTAAGACAGCTTGACTATATTTTAAAGCATGACTAATGAATCTGTGGTTTGCATGTCTTCCCACCTGCAGTATGGCCACTGGAGTAGTTTCCTTAGTTGATTCTGAAATTCAGTGGCCAAGGGCCTTTTTTAAAAAGTTGAGTGGTTTGGAAGAGTTAAATGCAGTTGCTGAATATAGATCTGTGTCACTGTACAATGCAGTGATAGATTTGTCAAGAACAAATTTGCCAAGTATCTTTTCCTCTTTTTTATTGGCTAACTTTCTTAATAAATTGTGGGAATGCTGTGGACATAATAACATACTGATTTCAGCAAAGCATTTGGCAAAGTTCCCTATTGATTTTCAGGTTAACAAGCTAGTTAAATGTGAGCTAGATGGCATGACAGTTGTGGGTCCATACTTCCTGAAAAAATGTTCTTATTGAAGTAGAAGGAGGTATCATATGGGGATACCCAAGCCATTAAGTCTTGGGATGACTCTTTTCAGCGTGTTTACTAATTACCAGAGTAACAACATGGAGAGAATACTTAACAAATTTGCAGGTAGAACAAACGTGAACAGGATTGCTAAGAGGCGCAAACAGGTTCAAAATCATCTTTTGAATTGTTTTTTTAGGAATTTAGATTTAATAGAATTAAATTTAACAGAAACAAATGTGAAGCTTTTTTCTAAGGAAAAAAAAAATGTAGGAAAATGCCCAGGGGTAGAATTGGGTGTAGCTAGCTTGGAAGTAGCACTTGTGAAAAGCATCTTGGAATTGTGGTTGATAATCAGATCAATATGACTATGATATGGACGCAAAAGATGTTGCAAACCTGGGGTTGTATTAGCTCCACTATCCATATTCTGGGTTGATTATACTGTATCTTGTATACCATACCATGTCTTAAGAACTGTTGCATGTATACTTTATTTCTTGTACATTGATTCTGTGTACTTCTAAGAATTGCATCTCATTAATTTTATGTTTTTCTCTTAACATGGAATACAATGACAAAATGTGATCCCTTCTTAATTGTCATATTTTTCCTGGTATATCTAGTTCTCCGATATACCATTCTTAATTCTTATTTGAATTCTTAACACGTATTCATGCATGAAATGTTGGTGATTTCTTAGAATAGAAGCTTTCAGCTCTCTTTTTTAGGAAATTATCTATTTCCCCTAGCAACTTTGCCATTAACGTATCTCCTGTCTAAATGTATCCTCTCTAGTGTAGAGTTTTACCATTTAGTGTGCTATTTGTGAGAGAGGCCTTCTCACTTACCCATATGCTGTTAAAGATGCCATACTCTATATAAATAAGTCAATATGTTGGAGTGGAAGTGGAGTAAAAGGTGAATTATATATAGAGAACGATATTATCCAGCAGTTGGGGAAATAGTGATTTCGAAAATTTCAGGTAAATTGTTTTGGAGATTAGAGAAGGAATTCTAGACTTTGCTCACTTTCTGTTTTATTAGTGGAAGGACAGTCATACTTTTTCATTCCTCCATTGTTATTGACTGTTGACTATTCAGTTTATCATCTTCCAGTCATTTCCCCATGTACTTTCTGTTTTTGCTTAGCCAATGAAGTTGTACCACTGGATATTTGGAGGAAGTGATTATTTATCTTGAAATGTACATTGAAGTTAAATATGCAGGAATTAGTTTATTTGAATATTCTTGGTATTCTAATTGATAGAGAAAAACTGATATAAAAATGGCAAGGAAACATGACAATTACCACACACCACTATAAGTAATAGAAAGTTTAAAGGACTCTGTTTTCTTCTAACATGACATACATTGTACACCAGAATGATATCTCCTACTTCTTTATTAGTTTATCTGTTTTGGAAAAATAACACAGAAATATTACATATGGAGAGCTTACTTTTTAGGAAACACCTTTTTTTAGTGATAACCGATTCAATCCCATTTTTGTTTACTTAGAAATGAGTTTAATTAAACCTATTCTCAGTGAAGTATGCATAAGATTGCAAGTGTGTTATTAAAGTTATGGGTAAGACCTGCCAGTTGAATAACTAGTAAACTGTGGAAAAGAATGACAGAATGTGGCACCATTAACAGTCCTTTCCTACGCATTCTTTGCATAATATTGTCCTTCTCTTTCTTCCATTCTTATATTACCAACCCCTTTAGCCTCGGGATATAAGCCCAGAAGAGGTAGATTTAAAGAATGAGCCTTGGTATAAATTCTTTTCGGAATTGGAGTTTGGGAAACCGGTAAGTTGATAGTCCCAAGCATCAATAAATATGACTTTGTTATGGATCATTGTCTTTTCCATCTTCATTGTATGCCTAATGGAACAAAAATCAGCTCATTCTGGTTTAGCCAACTTAATAACACTGTAAAAAGAATATTTATGTTATAAGTTGTAGTCCATCTTATTTATCTTTTGGAAAATCATGCAGGCCAGATTTTGAAAATCAAACTGAAAGAATATTAACAAATTTGTAACTATAAGATAGTGTGGATGTTTTCTAAAAAAGTCTTCTGGAATTACATTTCAAACTGTGGTTTGATTCTACAACCGTGAGGTGTAAATTCAGTTACCTTGTTTTTCATACGCATGTGCTTTTCAGTGTCTTGCTTTCTCTAGCAAGTGAGAAGGGAGAATATCAGAAAATGTTCTCATTTCAAAATTCCCATTGTTGTTTTGTATTGAATGAAATTGGTGGTTAGGGAAGGCAGACTGTCTTATATGTGAGCATTGTATGGAATGTATGTAGGGTCTATTTTTCAAAGGAAAATGTACCAATTAAAAGTTTCTTCCAAAAGGCAATTTGATAGTTGAAAAAAATATTTGTTCAAATGCAGTTGTTGGTTTATTGCCTTTCTTCTCTGAAGCTGAAGGCAGTGTACACAGAGTTGGGCTGAGACAGTGGTTGACCCAAAGTCATCCAGTGAGGTCTGGGGTTTGTTTCCTCTATCTAACATCTTACTTATTTTTATAAAGTGGCAAATTATTATCATATGAACAACAAGAAAACGCATACAGTTTTCTATATAAATCAGATTAGGAGACTTAATTCTTATTGATACCTTGATCAAAGGGAGGCAGTTGGTTCCCTTTCTTGCTCTTTGCTTTCATTTGTGGAACTGGTATTGGGGAAAAATACAATGCATGGATAAGATTTTCAGGTAAGGCAAGGAGTTGTTATTTTGGCTTTCTTAATTGACAAATATTCTTATGAACTGGCCTGAGCAATAAAGTGGAGGAGGACCGGATATCCAGGAGTAAGCTCTTCCATTAAAGGTTCTAAGAAGGCTTACCCCCGGGGCCTCTCTAGACGGCATTCCCTTAAAGAAGGGACCTTTACCAAGTGCTCTCTGGATTTCTGTAAATGTAAATAAAATGTAAATAAAATGAAATTTAATTTAGTTTTGTCCAGATCCCACCTGCTATTTTTGGAGAATGATCAAGTGGAGCTCTCAATCAGGAAAAAAAAAAAAGTCCACCACTGACATAAGAGGAAAATTATGTCAGATTACTCAGCATGATGAATGTAAGGCATAAGCTTGGAAATGAACTGCTGTGCCAAATTGTAGCTAGCAGCATCCCCTGAAAAACCCGTCCCCCAGTTCCATAATCAGCCATGTCATTTAAAGGCATCAGCACTGCTTTTTGATGTAGGATAATGATCAGATTGGCTTCAAGAGCCCCAAGTAGCCTTTTGCACAACCGTAAAATAGAACTTGGCAAACAAAGAACATTTCATAGAGCAGAAAGGTAGAAGTTGCGACAGAATATTGGGAAGCTGGGTTTGACAGTAGACCCTAATCCAATATTCATTATTACAGTTATGGACAACCATCACCTAGAAAAAGGAAGCAGGGAACATTACTGCCCTTCCATCCCTAAATTTTTTCAAAGCCAATAGCATTGCAACTAACATAGCCAAGAAAACCCAAAAAAGCTTCACTTGCTTTCCTAGATTTTACTTCGGCATAATAGAATCTCAGAGTCATAGAATTGGGAAGGACCACTTAGACTACTGAGTCTAATCTACTGCCCATTGTAGCAATTTAAATTAGAGCATCCCAAGCAAATCTATATCCAGCCATTACTTGAACAGATCCAGCAAAGGAAAGTTTAGGTAACTTGATCCCATTGATGAACTGAAAGAATAAAGTAATAGCATTTGGATATTTTTAACTGAATTTCACTGAATTAGTCTATGTAAGAAGTTTCATTGTTCAGAAAAGCCAAATCATAAAATGAAGGAGGATCCTTGTGTAAGGTTTCTTAAGCTCCTAGAAGAAATATTGGATATAAATCTGACATAATAATTCATGAACATTTTCTAAAAATTCTCTGTACTGTATATTCCACCAGGAAAATGTGAAGAGCAGGTTCAAGGTGCAGAACTTAAGGTTGAGACTGATAGAAACTCCATTATTTTAAGGAGTTTAAATCTCCAAGATCAAATGAATTGCATCCAAAGGCAATGAAGGAATAGCTGAACCAGGCTGGCCAAACTCTAGGTATTATCTTTGACATGCTCTGGAGAAATTAGTAAAGTGTCAGATGCCTGAAGGGACATACTATCCCTGTCTTCTGATGAGGAAAAGTAGAACACAGGGAACTGCCAACCACTGCCTCTGACATCAGTATCTGGGGAGATTCTAGAGCAGATCATGAAAGATTCTGTCTGTTAGAATGTTAAAAGCACACAGTGATCACCAGAAATCAGATAAAAAATAGAAATTAATTTAAGAAGAGAGAGAGAGAGAAAGAGAGAGAGAAAGAGAGAGAGAGATCTCAACCTGCATTCATTGGAGCAAAGTGGTAAATTATGGCCCATAACTTTTAATGAAGAAGCTATCATCTTGTAGTGGATTGGTTCAGGCTGATAATAGACACACACACACACAGTTGTTTTCCTTGGTTGCCATTATATACGTATATTTATTATCATTTGCTTGTACTTGAGTTTTTAATCCATGTTAATCACTCAGAGTGACTGTTGCTAGATGGACGACCGTATAAATTGATTGAAAGAAAAATAAATAAACAAATTGAAGAAATAAGAAATTTAAACATCCATATTCAGTAATTCTATCCAAAAAGCTATTTGTCTAGACCAATGTAAACTGTGGGAAAAGCTTTGCTAATGTAATTAAGAAATAGAAAGTAGATTTGAATAAAACTATCCAATGTACAATTTTTCAAAGCTCTTTGCTGTTGTGTTGATTCCTCATCCAAAATAATGTCATACACTTTTAAATATGATTGATCCAAGAAAGATGTACTTTGGTCTTCCAGTGTTTTCAATACTAAATTTGCTAGTTTATTGCACAAGGTTATTCCAACAATAAAATTAATGACTAAAACTTGTTGAGGCAAAGTGAATACGTGAATGCCAACCAGAGATGATAAACGCTACCAATTTGATTATATATGCTTCCATGCAATCTAGAAAGGTTACATGACTATTACAGTACAATGTAATTTTAGAAGATTTCTGGGGAGAGCTAGTTTGATGTAGTGTTTAAGGCACCAGGCTAGAAACTGGGAGATTGTGAGTTCTAATCCTGCTTTGGGCACAAAGCCAGCTGGGTGACTTTGGGCCAGTCTCTCTCAGTCGTAGGAAGGACTATTTCTGAAATCTTGCCAAGAAAACTGCAGAGACTTGGCCAGGCAATCACCAGGAGTCAATACTGCCACGAAGGCACACGTAGATAGATAGATAGATAGATAGATAGATAGATAGATAGATAGA